TCAGCGTATGGGGGGCGGCTGCTTCTTGGTGGGAGGAAGCCGAGGAGAGGGGAGCGAGCCCCTGGGTGGAGGACTTTGCCGGACCGGGGCCTCAGGTCTGGCACGCCCACGGGGCAGAGGCCCTCACAGCGGCGCAGTGACCACTCTCCCAAGCACGTCCAGCACCTCGCGCTCCAGCTCAGCGTTAGAACGAGGGGTTGAAAGCCAAGAACAGAAACAGCGGGCCCCAAGGACAGAAACCCTGTGTTTTCCTCGGGCCCTTCCCCTAGCAGCGGCTTCCTGAGCTGGGCTTTCAAACTGTGCGCCGAGGAGCCCTGCCGTGTGCCAGCCCAGCCCGCAGACGCTGCGGTCTTCCTTCCACGTCTAAATAAACCCACGCCCGCTGCTTGGGCCGGCAAGACTGTCCCGCCAGAAGGACGCCTGGCGAGCCCCGGCAAACGGGCAGTTGAAATTCCTCCCAAGGAACCTCTTGTGCTGCTGTCCGGCACGGGCCAAAGCCCCGGTCCACCCCAGAGCCCCGAGGAAGGTCCCAAGAGGGCCCCATGCAGTCCCAGCACACCTAAGGCTGCACTGGGCTCGGCTCACCCTGCCAGTGGGACCCCACAGCTCTGGCTACTCACAGAGGCCCCTGGGCAGTCGTTCTCTGCCGAGGCCCCCTCCCCAGGCCACAGCACCGGATGCCTGTCCTGATCTGAGAGTCCTCGGCAAACAGGCCCTGCCAGGGCTCCAGGGAGTCCCTGTGGGGAGCAGGACAGTGGAAAGCCCCCTCTGAGGTCCCAGCTCTGCCATGGGAGCCGGGCGTCTCAGCTGGCCCTGGCCACACTCGCCCTGCCTTGGGGCTCAGGGGAGAGCCTGCTGGCTTTAATGCTCCTCAGAGCTGGGGCGGCCTCAGAGCCAAGAGCCAGACGGGGGCTGCCAATGGCCACTGCCGCCACCCACGGCCCTGCAGCTCTGTGAGGTGCCCACGACCCCACAGCCGGGGAGGTGCAAAGCACCCACACCCTAGGACTTGTGTCTGGCACTGGGCTGGTTCCTCACCCATCAGCCAAGGGTGGTCTGAGAAGAGCCAGCGGGCCCAGGCGGGGGCAGGCAGGCCAACCCAGGGATCCTGGCCCGAGATGGTAGGGGAGAGAGGCCCACGGACACTCAAGACCAGACATGACCAAGCACACTGGCACCTCCACCTGCAGGGGGGAGACCGAGCACAGGAGGACTGAGCCGGAGGGTCTCCAGGCACGTGGCAGGCAGCAGTGAGGGCAGGGCAGCCACAGCGGCCACGAGACACACCGGGCCAGTGCAGGCACCTCGCCTGCTGCGGCCACCACGGGGGTCCTACGGGGGCCAGGCCCCACCGCTGTGCCAAGCCCTGAGCCAGGGCCGAGGGGTCTCTCAGCACTGAGTGAGGGTCCCGGTGCCAGTGCTGCACACCTGCCCAGGGCAGGCAGAGGCAGGGCCACTGCTCCCACCGGCCGGCCGAGCCCCAGGGCCAGCAGGGGTCTGGGGAGCCAAGCCCCCTTACCCTTTAAAAAGGCAACAACCCGTCGCACCGCACCTCACGGGTGGCAGGACCGTCTCCCGCACTGCCCGATCTGGGCCTGATGGGGTCGTGGCTGCCAGGTGACAGACGTCACTTCATTGTCTGGCTGCCAGGCATGCATGGGGAGGGTAGGCAGTCTTCCTGACGGAAACACCCTTGCTCCCCAGCACCCTGGTCACGCCGGGCACCTCAGACCCTTGGGGAGCCCCGTGTTTGTGTGAGAGTTTCGGGCCTTCCAGGTCCCTCGGCACGGGCGTCCCAGGAGGAGGGCGGAGCGGGCGGGCACTGGCCTTGGGGAGGGCGTGGGGACGCGCAGGCAGGCAGGGACCACCAGACACGCGGGAGCCGGGGCAGGGAGCGAGCCATGGAACGTACCAGAAGCCCGGAGGCCCGGAGTCCTCACCTCGAGTCCTGCTCTCAGGGCAGCACCTCATCCCGAGAGACAGAGCGGACCGAAAGGGGCACCAGAAGGGCAGTGACAGTGAGTAAAGCGCTTGGGGCAGCAAGATTTTCCAGATGGGGGGAGGGCGGGAGGGAGAGAGAGAGAGAGAGAGGGCTGAGACAGGTACTGCCCTGCCGGGGGGGCCAGGGGCCCCTCCAAGTCAGGCCGCCTCGCCCACCGGGCCAAGCACAGGGTCGGCCCTGGGCCCCAGCCCAGGCGTCCACCGCAGGGGCGTGCCCGCTCTCTAGCCAACAGCATGCCTCAAGGCCAGCCAGGCAGCCAGGGTCTGGCCACATATCCAGGGTGACGGCAGGGGCCAGTGGGCAACCCGCCCCTGAGGTGCTCAAGCCGGCGGTGAGGAGGCTGCCATGGCGGCACTGCCAGCTGCCCTCATTAGCGCCTGCACCCTGGGGGACCTGTCTCTGCTCAGTGCTCAGTGGTTCAAGCAAACGCTCGACAGTCTTTTCGGCTCGAGACACAGCATTGTCACCTTCGGGGAGCCTTGGGGTGAGGCCTGCTCAGTCCAGTTCTATGTGCCCCCACGTGGCCCCTGGTCAGCCGAGTCGCTCCCTGGCCAGGAGGGCATTGGGGAGGCCAGCGTCCACCTGGGACCTCCATCTGCAGGCGTGACGGCCCTTGGAGATGCTCGGGCCCAGTAACACAGTGCATAGGGGTTGGGGAGCGCGACCCTGGGAGACGACCTAGATTCCAACACTAGGAGCACATACAGCCACACCCGCTCCCCGGGAGCCGGACCCATGTGTGAGCCGGTTCTGACCTGCCTGACCCAGAACCAGGGACCAGCAGGGGCCAGGGATAGCCCCGAGGCCCGCCCTGACCTCTGCCTGCAAATGGGGTGGGCATGAGGTGGGAAGAGAGGGCCCTCCCCAAGAGGACAAGGGGACCTTGAATCCCTCCCACCCAGCCTCCCCCTGCCCATGCCCACACCCCTGCAGTGGCAGGAAACCCCTGTCTGGGATGCCTGCCCTGGGGGAGCTGGGAGCTGGCCTGGGGGGTGAGATGGGGAGCCCCCCAAAGCCCCTCCCCCATCCGTGGATACAAGTCAGGAGAAAGGCAGGAGAGGGCACGTCACAGCAAAGGCACTAACACGGCCAGAGAGCCCTGGGTGCAGACAGGACAGACACCGGCACGCTCTCCACACGGCCACGTGCACGCACAGGGACAGGCCCGACGGCCACAGCACACACCCGGGCAGCCACAGGCGGGGGACACTGACCTTGGGGACGGTTCTGGCTGCGGCTCCTTCCTTCAAACAGAAGCAACAAAAATGTCAGAGCTTGGCAGGGCCACGTGGGTCCAGTGGCCCCCACCCCCACCCTTCAGGCCTGACACCCAGTCACACACTCCCCAGGCCAGGGCCACGCTCGAAGGCGGGAAGGCACAGTAGCCCACCCATCAGAGAGCCCCCAGTCCCTCCAAGGGAAGGGTGCCACAGGACCCAGGGGGTAGTCCCAGAGGGCAGCGATTCCGAAGGGGGCCACGCCTCAGCCACGGCACTCCCGCTTACACGTTCATTTAGTCAGAACTGACCACAGTCCAAAAGGTAGCGTGTGCCGGAGAGAGCTCCGGAAGGGGCCACTTCCAGTCCACGCAGGGCAGGCAGCTGCTTCCGTTCTCTTTCCACTTTTAAATCAACGGACGGTTTCTCTGTCATTTTTCCTGTGGGCTCTGAGCCCGCCCGCCCGTATCAGTCCAACACGCCCATCGCTGCCCGACCGGCCCCCGGGCCTTTAGCCACCAGCAATACTGGGCTCGTGGGAACCTGGCGGCTTGGAACAGTGCTTAGAGACCCTGGCGGCCCGGTGGCCTTCGCATTCCTCGGGGGATCCTGGACGTCCAAGCCCTTTGCATGACAGGGACCGTGCCACGCAACGCGGGCTGAGGGGAGCATAACCAGGCCCCTTCCTTGGCAGACTCCCTGACGACCGGACCCAGCCACCATGGCTGCTCTCACAGCTCGGAGACGGTGCCTGCCACCATAGGGGACCCTGCCATCCCTCCAGCTGGGGGACGTGCCACCCCGGGCACACCCAGGGCACGCAGGTCACCTGTGCTGTTGGCTATGGCAGCCGGAATAAACGGGGGGCTCAACAAAAAGACA